CAATGATGCCTTATTTTTTTTTTCATTTTGATGTGATTCTGATATTGCAGTTCACTTAAAACTCCTCATTCTTAATTAGCTTGTCCATGTTATGTTATAAACTCAGGTGGCAACAATCCTATCTCATGGAAACTGAGACGCTTCTTCAGTTCAAATGAAAAGCACTTGCCTGCAATATCTGATCCAGAGATAGAATCTGCATTTAAGGATTTGTTGGCTGCTAGTTGGAATGAACTTCCAGATTCTCTCGTAGCAGAAGCAAAGAAAGCAGTATCTAAAGCCACCGATGATAATGCTGGTCAAGAGGCTTTGAAAAATGTATTTCGTGCAGCTGAGGCGTGTGAAGAATTTAGTGGAACCTTGGTTACCCTAAGAATGGCTCTTGATGATCTTTGTGGCCTGACTGGTGAAGTCAGTACTTGTTATCTCTGTTTCCTCATGTATTTTTTGGGGGTGCTTATATCAGTCTGATCAAGACAAAACTTTTGCAGAATGTGGGTCCCTTGCCTGGTTATATTGAAGATGCTGTTAAAGCTTCATATAATCGCTACATGACATATCTGGAGTCCTTTGGCCCTGAGGAAAATTATCTAAGAAAGAAGGTGGAGACTGAGTTGGGGACAAAAATGATACACCTCAAAATGAGATGCAGTGGCATAGGTTCTGAGTGGGGAAAGGTATTCTTATGAATTTTACTTGTCCGGTTGTCCCTGTGGTACAGTTTTACTTCAGTGTTGTCTTATGCTGGTAGAAAATTAGAAATATGTTCCTTGATACTTTTGTGATTCTTGATGTTTGTAAAAGTTTCTCTGCTTCTAACTGTGCCATAATTCCTTTTAAGATTATGTTCAGTTTTTGTTCCATATGCAGTGTTAGTGCATTTTTAATATAATGTTATCATGTTTATTGCTTGACTGATTTTTGTATTGTTGATTGAATTTCCCATGCTTGGTCCTTTGCCTATCTGAAGAAAATCTATTAAAAACTTGAATCTGCATTTTCTGCAACCATCCATCCATCCATTATTTTGATATTTTCCATACCAGGTGGAAGCCCATGATTTCCATAAACTGGTGTTAATTGTTCAGTTGCCCGTGGGATCCTAAACCATATTGATTGTATTTCACTTGGTACAAAAAAAAATTGGGGTAACTTGAAGGGGGTAATATGTACTTCAGGCTTCTCAAATAGTTTCATATCTTCTTTTTTACCATATGATTTTTTAATTTTAAGCAAATTATGCATAACAACTGACCATAGCTGGCTGGCTTGCTGTAAGTGTTCATGCACTGAGTGTCATAGCAAGATCTGGCAAGGATTGTTAAATTAGTTTGTCATGTATGTCATAGAACTCATGGTACCGGAATTGCATCCAATTTCACTTTGCGTGAAATCTGAAACTGTGGCGAGTTGGCAGCAACCAGTTGTTTTGTTACCACCACGGACAAGCTCCTCTCTGCGGGTAGGATTTTGAGAAAAAGTGTATCGGACATTTTGGAATTGGTGATATGTGAGTTAGACTTTGCTTTATTGGTTCAGGGTAATTTTGTTAGTTTCAAATTGGTAAATGTTTTCACATTTCTCCTACTTTCACCATAAACCAGCAAAACAAACATGCATTCGGGCTGATTCCTGGCCAATATTGTCTGGTCTTCCTCCATGATCTTTTGCTCACGGCATTACTAGCAGGCAAGCGGCTTTATAAGAATCACATGGTTGTGCTTTTTCAAACACCTCGTGCACATAATGATAGTGTACCATTTATGGGGAAAGGATGTTCTGGTCCCATGTCGTTATTGCTATGAAAATGTACCTTCTCTTTAGTTTTTTTTTCATCGGATTATTTTCTGATGATGAAAATGAATTATGTCCTGCTCAACCTCATAGCATGTATGGAATTATGTTCTCTGTTCGATACACATCGAGCCTGCTTGTTGTGTCAGGACTGAAGCTAGTGAAATAGCATATATATTTAGGACTCCTTACTCATAATTACTGTTCTACGTGCAGATCTCCCTGATTGGCACCTCAGGGATCTCAGGTTCCTATGTTGAGCTAAGGGCATGATGGGAAGTCTGCAGATCAGAACCATGGAAATCATCGATGGGCTGATGAAATCTGTAGACCAGAATGTCTTTCTGCATTTTCCTTTCTCCTTTGTAGCTAGCATGGCAATAACAATGTGATCATCAAATAGCTGTGCATTTGAAGTAACTCCAGATACTCCCGTCTTTGTGTCTGTAATAAGAACGTGTTTCATGTGCGTGAAACCTGTCAATTCTGTTAATTTTTGACATGCACCTGACTTCTTGTTCAACTGGTGGGAATGGAATACTTTGTTCATGATCATATGCCTTCGCTTGCAACTCAACTTCCTTAAGCACTGCAAAAAATACAGTGACCTTCCATTTTTGATGCAAGGGTTTAACAATCTCAATATGTGATTGCTATTCACTAAGTAGTGGATTGTAGCATGTTAAATCATCACTTAAAATACAAATGGTGTGAAAATGAGATTTAATGTTTACTTATTGTAATAATAATCTGAGTTTCATTTGACCTTTTGTTTAAATCCCAAGATCCACAATAAATGTTAGACGTAATAAAGGATTAACTAAATATTGACTAAATATTTATTCAGCTAAAATAAATCTACTTGTTATGAGGTTGAGAAAGGTGAAAAAACAAGCCATATGAAGTTGCAACGTACACGGGCTCGTCAGGTCAGACCACGAAATGTGTGGTGCATATAAGGGAGACAACTATGCTATACTCCCTCAGTCCCAAATAATCTTTCGCTTTTGGTTTTCGTGTTATAAGTTTGACTCGATTTGTAGAAAATACATACAATATTTGTATCTCCAAGTAAATTTCTTAAAAAACTATATTCAAATATATTTTCAATGATATCAATTATGTACCATAAATATTAATATTTTTAATATATATTTTTTTAAAGTTGTTTCTCGGAAAGCGAAATCGACATATATTTTGGGACGGAGGAAGTAGACAATTAGACATATATTGTTTGCCATATATACAAAAAAAAATTGCTTATTTTAATACTAGGTTTAGATATAGATTGTACTCCCTCCACCATGAAATAGTGCGTTATTACTTCTAAGATGCATTTTATGTGGTGCCCATATTCATATTTGGCAAAGTTTATTAAAAAGAAAACTATAATTTGAGGATAAACTCCTTAATTAGGTTTATTCTATGGGTACATATGTCATTTGAGTGTTCTTCTAAGTTGTCTAAAATTTCTAAAATGTGTTTTATTACAGAAACAGAGGGAGTACTCCCTCCGTTTTTTAAGTGTTACATTTGGTTTGTCCTAAGTCAAACATTGCAATCTTTGACCAACCATTTTTAAAAATCCTTATAGTTTCACAATATATGAATTATATATTACGATAATATTTCTCATAATAAATCTAAAAATACAAATCTTATTGCATGAAACTATATAAATTTTTTAATCAATGGTCTAAGATACACATGTTTGACTTAAGACAAACCAAATGTGACACTTAAAAAAAAGGGAGGGAGCATGTCATAAATATTAGGGAAATTATTTGTTCATTGACAAGGAGCCTTCTCACAGTAAGTGACTAAGGCAGGTGGCATATAAAGGGAGACAGCTAATAAGTGGCCTGAAATTATTTGCTACGGTTTATAAAACCCTTAAAAAGAAAAGCTCACTGATTTCTATTTTACAGTGTATCACCAGTACAAGTATACAACATTGGCCAGCTGGTATTTTGCTTACAGCCATCTACCTACGTATCTCCTCACAAACATCTACAACATGAGGCCGAAGCAATCCAAGAGGAACGCGTGACACGAGCAGCAATCTTCAAGCGGTTGGCCTGCAATAGCAGCATTTGATTTGATCTGAGCCATCATCTGCCAGCTACATGACCTTCTCTGACTTTGTGACTGATGGGGCTCATGATGTTTGAGGTAGGCGATGCTGCTCGTGACCACTGCCAGAATGATCATCGTTGCCACCAATGCCTTGTCCTTGCGCTTCGTTATTCCATGAACATCCCTGCAGAAAAACCGAGTGTTAGATTCTAAGCTAACATAGCATTAGTTGACAATAGCATCTTTTTTTTCAATCTGGGTAACAATAGTTCATATAGCACAGCTTCTAACTAAGGAGTAGTTCATATACTTCAGGTTTTGATTGCTATGTATCTGTGAGAATGTGGAGTAGGACAACGTAGCTTTGGCACAGTTTTGGCATATTGGCGCTATACCCTATACATATACACCACCTGGCTGTCCACTTGGAGTACATTTTCAAGAATTTCCTCGAACATGAATATGATGCCCTTTCTGATTATATTGACCTTGCTACGGGCAAACAGGGTTGCTTTTACAAAATCAATTGTCTGATACTATTTTTAGTCACACAACAAATAAAAGCATGCTGCCTTACTATCTTATGTATTGTATTAGAAAAATCAGTTCCGGTTCATATGTTTGCAATACTTGTTGATTACCATTACTTTCTTGCTTATTGCATCATGCGGAAAATGACCGATTGCGCCTCTGAACATTAAACTCGACATCAATTAGGTCAGTTATACCAGCTTTGATCTTCTGACCTACTCGGACAGGACCCACACCCTCAGGAGTACCTGTAGAGGAACTAATGAATAACTCACAGAAAGACCTCAGATGCACAAAAACAAGCTGAGCATAGAGAAAATGTCAGGAAGGGCAGGCCTGGTGCAGTGGTGAGAGCTGTCTCACTGAGTCACCAGGTCGTGGGTTCGAAGCAGCCTCTCCGCAGATTTTGCGGGGGAAAGGTTTGTCTCGGTTTACCCCTTCCCCAGACCCCACTCATGTGGGAGCCTCCGGCACTGGGTCTGTCCTTTTTTTATAGAGAAAATGTCACTACCTGTTAGTATCACATCACCCTCCATTAATGTCATGATGGAACTGATATAGCTGATCAGAAAAGGAATCTTGAATATCATGTCACTTGTGGATCCTTTCTGTCTTAGTTCATCATCTACCTGGATACAGTTGGTAGTCAATTGTACACCATATGCTCTATCACTTCAGGCAACATTAAAGAAATTCAGTACATATTTGCAGAAATACCTTTAGCCAGAGCTCGAGATCGTCGGGATTAGTGACAGCCGATTTTGGAACCTGATTGGTGGAGAAATTATCATTAGCTGAAGTCAAAACATGGCGTGTCATACTAATGGGTTTACACATTTCATGTCTCTTATCTAACAACCCTTCTGCAATCTGCACAGACTAATATTTCTGCGCTAACTAACTTCAATATGGCATTGATTCATTGAGGTGTAATTATAACAAGCGAACACAAATAAATAAAATATACTGTCCTGAGCCACCTAACAACTCCAAGCGCATGAAGAAACATCATTGCTTACTACTGCACTAATTGGAGTGAAGGTGTCTTGTCCTTTAGCTAAAGTCCATGGAAGGCCTGCAGACTGCAAAGTCCATGAAAAGCATCAAGAGGTTGAGTCTACTTAAGGTCTTGGCAGCCAATTGATGCTACCAGATTTGTACAACAAAATATATTTAAAAAAAAAATTACGTGAAACGAAATAGATTGGATGGATGAAGACAGTAACTAGCTCGACTAAAAGCATCTGAATCTTTGCTGTTCATCAATAGATATGATCATGGAGAAGATCCACTACAACAACAACAACAACATAGCCTTTCAGTCCCAAACAAGTTGGGGTAGGCTATGGAGAAGATCCACTAAAAGGGCGTACCCAGTGCAGAGAGCTCCCGCTCTGTGCGGGGTCTAGGGAAGGGTATCAGTGGCAAGCCTTACCCTCGCCTGTGCAATGCGAGGAGACCGCGACTCGAACCCGGGACCTTCCGGTCACAGGCGGTAAGACTCTACCGCTTGCACCAGGCCCACCCTTCATGGAGAAGATCCACTAATGAGACTAAATTGCAAAGTTAGTTACTGAATTTACTTATGTAAATTGAATGTTTTTATGATCATACCTAAGATTCAACAACCACTAGGGATGACAGATGACACTACTACATCAGTAATTGAACAAGTAGTACTGAGGCTCAGAAAAACTACAGAAGGTAGAACTCACCTTAGCAACAGATTGAAGGTCCCTTGCTGTCATGTCCAAAGCAAGTGCATAACCTGGAAAATTCAATGACGCAAGCAGCTATCACATATTTAGTTTGTCACCAACAAATGCTTTAAACTGCTCAATTCAGAAAGCATAAAAAGAATGAGGTAAGCACAAAGGAGACTACATATTGTAAGCTTTTAACTCAAGTTCACTAATGATGAAGAGAACAGAATACAAATAGTTACCAATCAGGCCAAAAAACAACAAATTCGCAACTGTACAAGAAAACATAGTTGAATTCACGAGTTTTGTATTTCTATATTCCATGAAACATACTTTTGTATTCCTGCCTATGCAATAACCATCATCAAATGAGCACGAGCTTGCCTTGGAAATTCTAGCTTTTAAATTGCTCGCTTGCACTTTCCACCAAGCTTGTCAAGAAGCTAGAATTGCTAAAATCCATCTGTTTCTAGCTTCCATCACACCGTCACTCCTCGTGACAATAAAGCAGTAAGGCCAAAATAACTCTCAATGATCCTAAATAGTTTCCAGAGAATGAACATATCCTAGAATCCTAATGGACCTTTCTGAAAAATGAAACCATAGGATTTTTTTAGTACACTTTGGCACTTTGCAAACACACGAACTTTTCTCTATAAACGAGAATACAGAGCCTTACTATCTCACGAAGGGTTCGTCGTTAATTATCTCAGGTCGTAACATTTCAATGAGAACACAGAGCATGAACATATCTCAGGAAGGCTCCATCGTTGTGACGCAATTCTCAAATTACCTCCGACGAAGTCCATGGCGGATGCCTCAGGAATGTCGCGCCCGCGCCGGGAGATGACGACGGCGAGCTCAACCTCGTGGTGTAGCGACTCGAGCGGCTCCGGGATCTCGACAGCGGCGGTGTCCACGCCAGCGTGGAGGAACGACGAGGTCGGCTTCAGGAACAGGACGGGCTCCTGCAACACACCCAAAGTCCCAAACACACGCGAGATCAATCCAGACTCACACCCAAACACACGCAAGATCAGAGATCAATCCAGACTAACACCCAAACACACGTGAGATCAATCCAGACTCCAGAGGCAGCGCGGGAAGGGGGGGGAGGGAAGTTGGAAGCGCGGCAGCCGGCAGCTTTTTGGGATCGACGATGGGAGGCGCGCGGAACGCACCTTGGGGACCGGGTTGTTGAGCTCCTTGGCGTGGGCGATGTAGTTGCGCCCAACCCCGATGATCTTCGTGCTCGCCACGAGCAGACTCTGCGCCGCCGCATCCGAAGCCATGGCCGGCAGGGTTGGTGGACCGGAGGTGTCGAGGAGAGAGTGAAGGTGACGGGTTGCTTCTGAGTTCCTTCTGAATAACGACTCGCACTATTGACTTTGGCCTTTCAGCTTTAAGCAGTCTACGAGAGTGCACTACGTAAAAAGAAGATTTTTTGTCACATCAAATTTATGGTACGTGTATAAAGTATTAAATATAGACGAAATTAAAAACTAATTATACAGTTTATTTTAACTTTGCAAGACGAATCTTTTAAGCCTAATTAGTTAATGTTTGAATAATAATTCATAAATACAAACAAAATGCTACAGTAGACAAAAGTGGACTATGCAAAGTTTGTAGGTACAAACTTTGCCGAACTAAACGCACCCTAAATAGGCCCTTTTTATTTCTAGATAAAAATGGGCTTTAGGGCTGGTTTGGTTTATGCAGGTTCCTATCACATTGAATGTTTGATATATGTATGAAGTATTAAATATAGACTAATTATAAAACTAATTACACAACTTGCGACTAATTTGCGAGGCGAATCTTTTAAGCCTAATTAGTCTACGATTTGACAACGTGGTCCTACAGTAATCATGTGCTAATGACGGATTAATTAGACTAAAAAATTAGCCTCGCAAATTATCCTCCATCTATCTAATTGGTTTTATAATTAATCTATATTTAATGCTCCTTATTAGCATCTAAATATTCGATGTGATATGAATTTTAGAAGCGACTAAAGAACCAAACACCCCTTATTACTCATCAGCAGCGACCTTGCCTTCTGCGTCAGCACTCAGCAGAGTCCTTGGCCTCATCAGTGGCAGTATTACCAGCCTTGTCAAGTTGTCATCGTCCGCATCATGAGCATCATCCTCGTCCTCCTGTCAGGCACAAGCAATTGCCATTTGGCGTTGACAAAAGATTGGCATAGACGCATAGTATATAGGCAGGAACTTAAGTACAAACAAATCAACCCAAAGCTTACATCTGCATCATTGTCGTCGTCGTCATTAGTGCTTGCAGATTCCTGGCAAAGAGGAACATTGCAAGTTAATACTAAACTACATTTGATTTTGTTTCGAAAGAGAGGGCTCTGCTACGCTACGCATGAGTACACTAAACACTCTCTAAAAAGAACAGGAAATGACATTGCACAAGAGAGAGTGTGTAATTCTGTATACCTCCTCAAGCCTCTTTTTCTCAGCCTCGTCAAAGGCAGCATTCTCAGCCTGAAACAGATCATTATTTTAGCTGTTGCAATTAGGAGTGTAGAGTACAAAACAGTAATCCTATATAGACAAGTCGCCATACTTTGTGCTTGCCCCAGGTCTCCTCTGCAAACTTCTTGGCGTACTCAGGTCTCAGGTTCGTCAGTAATCAGAATGTTGTCAAACAAAGTTCCTGATTGAACCTAGTTTTGTTTGGTTGGCCAGCAGGCTAGCCCCACGCTACTTCTTCACCAATGAAGTCAAAATTCAGTAGTGATAGCAAAAGTTATCAGCCGGACAGTGGACAGTGCTCTGACTGACCACAGATTTGTTAGCTAATCTATTGCCACCTTGTATAAACACAGCAGAGGAAGGCGACGCCGACTTAGTCGCCTGCTGTGTGTGAACACAGCAAGGGAAGGCGGCGCCGACTTTGCCTCCTGCTATGATACAGTAGCCGCTGCAGGTGCAGACGCCGCACGGCTCACCTGCAGCACTGTAGGAACAGACAGTGGCCGGCGCAGAGTCAGCCCTGTCAGGTTATCTAGTTACTGTGCCAGTATGGGCGTTGCACATAGACTAGATAGTTAGAGTTGTATAAATAGACATATATGGCAACTCAGTAAAGAGAGCTCAGATTTGCCATCACACAGACAGGGCCTCGGCCAACGCTGCTGTCTTGTATTGTGCGTGCTTGCTCTGTTCTCCCTTCTTCTTCCAACTCCATCCGTAGTGTGTGGGTACGGACAACGCCGATACGTGGTCTGCACGGCTAGTGGGTGATCGGCAACACTAGCGCGTGCTCGACGAGACCGTCAAGTGCTCCACTCGCTTGAGCCGGTGCTCGGCAAGATCGGCTAGAGTGATTCACTGTCGTGAGCCGGTGATCCTGTGAGACCAACGGAGTGGTCTGGAGGCCATCAAGGTGGTCTGGAGGCTATCTGTAGTGGTCTAGAGGCCATCTCGGTGGTTTGGAGGTATCTGTAGTGGTCTGGAGGCCATCTCGGTGGTCTGGAGGCTATCTGTAGTGGTCGGGAGGCTAACTGTAGGCCAACAAGTGGTATCAGAGCCGTACAAGCGCCGTCGTCATTCTAACCGATGGCGATGACAGGCGGTTCGGAGTTGGACGACGGCAGTGGCACTGTCGTGGCTGTCCAGCCACTACCGGATGTAGTTGTTCGCACGGTGCGGGAGGTCAGCGGCACCACTTGGCCGACGCTGACTCGCACTAACTATGGAGAGTGGTCGGTGACCATAAAGGTCAAGCTCAGAGCCCGACGGCTTTAGAATGCTGTTGACAAGGGCACCGACGTGGAAGAAGACGACATGTCAGCGTTAGAGGCTATCCTCGCTGCTGTACCGGCGGAGTACAGGGAGCCGTTGGGGACGAAAAGCTTAGCTAAGGAGGCGTGGGAGGCCATTGCGGCGATGCGCGTCGGTTCCGACCGCGCAAAGAAGGCGACGACCCAGCTTCTGAAGCAGGAGTACGCAAACCTTAAGTTCAAGGATGGTGAAACAGTGGAGGACTTCTTCCTCCGCCTGTAGACTCTCATCAGCAAGCTGAAGAGCCACGTCGTCACCATCGACGAAGAGGAGGCGGTCTCCAAATTCCTCCACTCCGTGCCGGCAAAGTACATCCAGATCGCTCTCTCCATAGAGACGATGCTGGACTTGTCCACCCTCACCATCGAGGATGTGGCAGGCCGTCTACGGGCGGTGGACGAGCGCCTGGGGCAGGCGACAGCAACGAAGGACAGCGGGAAACTCCTGCTGACGGAAGAGGAGTGGGCTGCTCGGCGAAACTTCAGGAAGGCAGCCTCCTCTAGTCGTGGTGGAAAGGGCAAGCACCGCGGCAGAGCTTCTTCGGAGAAGAAGCAAATCGACTCCAACGCCTGTCAGTGTTACGGGAAGATGGGCCATTGGGCACGGGAGTGCCCAAATCGCAAGAAGAAAAAGAAGGCTCAGGCTCACCTGGCGAAAGCCGATGATGAGAATGAGGCCACTATCCTTATGGCGACGTTCTGTGCACTGCACGACATCGAGGCCATGGAGAGGGAAGAGGCGACAACGGTGGAAGGATCTAGTAAGGCCCTGAAGATCGTCAACCTCGACGAACCACGTGCCCAAGTCTATCTCGGGCGTGTGAGCGCCGACCAGGAGCAGCGGTGGTATCTGGACTCTGGTGCCAGTAACCACATGACAAGCTCTAAGGACTCCTTCTCCAAGCTCGACGGCGATGTTACCAGTACGGTGAAGTTTGGTGACGGCTCAAGGGTGGCTATCCAAGGGCGTGGCACCATCATCTTTAGATGCCAGAACGGGGAGCACCACGCGCTAACAAATGTATACTACATCCCGCAGCTGCGTTCCAGCATCATCAGCATTGATCAGCTGGATGAGCGCGGTAGCGAGATTCTGATCAAGGACAGCGTTCTGAGGATGAAAGACCGGGAGCAGCGACTTCTCGCCAAGGTGAAGAGGTCCCTAAACCGGTTGTATCTGCTCGACCTGAAGGTAGAGTAGCCGGTTTGCCTGGTGGCAAGGCACTCCGAGGAATCGTGGATGTGGCATGCCCGGTTCGGATATCTCAGCTTCGACGCGCTTGGTCGGCTAGGGCAGATGGTCCGAGGGCTACCCCACATCAAGCACGGAGGCGAGCTATGTGATAGCTGCCTGGCCGGGAAGCAGAGGAGGCTACCTTTCCCAAAGGCGGCCAAGTATCGCGCGAAGAAAGCTCTCGAGCTAGTTCACGGCGACCTCTGCGGGCTGATCACGCCTACTACATGCGGTGGTCGGTGGTACTTCCTCCTACTCGTGGACGATTGCAGTCGCTACATGTGGCTGCAACTCCTGACGAGCAAGGACGAAGCGGCGGTGGCGATCAAGAAGTTCAAGACGCGCGCGGAGGCCGAGAGCGGCAAGAAGCTCCGCGTACTGAGGACTGATCGGGATGGTGAATTCACTTCGGTAGAGTTTGCTACGTACTGCGCGGATTAGGGTGTGGGACAACATCACACTACGCCGTACTCGCCACAACAGAATGGCGTGGTGGAGCGACGGAACCAGGCAGTGGTCGGCATGGCCCGATCCATGATGAAGGCCAAAGGGATGCCGGCAAAGTTCTAGGGAGAGGCGGTGACCACGGCGGTGTTCATCCTCAACCGTGCTCCAACCAAGGCCCTAACGGGCAAGACGTCGTTCGAAGCTTGGTACGGGAGCAAGCCGAACGTGTCATTCCTCTAGACATTCGGTTGCATCGCCACGCCGGAGAAGACGGCTTTAACCTCACCAAGCCGGGAGGATGTGGAGCACACCCATGGTGTTCCTGGGCTACACGGAGGGTACCAAGGCGTACCGGCTCTATGACCCACGGGGAGACAAGGTGACTGTCTCGCGCGACGTTGTGTTCAACGAGGAGGCGGCTTGAGACTGGAACAGTCCGAGCACGGGGGAAGCAGGAGGCTTCCCCAACACCTTCGTCATCGAGCACTTTGTCATCCACGGTGGTGGAGACGCTGCGGAATAGGTGCCACGCACTCCGAGAGGAGCGCCGAGCACTCCGGCGGTAGAGTCGAGCACTTCTGGGGCAGAGCCGAGCACTTCAAAAGAGATGCCGAGCACTTCGGGAGGAGTGTCGAGCACTTTTAGAGGGATGCCGAGCACGCCAGGAGTGGAACCAGGAGGTTCTGTAGTGGTGCCGACCACTTCAGGACGGGTGCCGAGCACTCTCGTGGCGGAGCCAAGACGTTTTACTGTGGTTCTGACCACTCCAAGACTGAGGCTAGGCACTCCTACAATGTGGC